CCCTGCAATGCATGCAAGAGACCTGGCCATGTGCTCCTGGCCCAGCCCTGTCTATTAACATTAATTTGTAGATTTAACCAGCAGATGGAGGATCTCTCTTTGTAACTCTACCTTTCAAATAGAGATAAGAAATTTCACAACTTTAGAGGTTTCTGTATTCTCCCAAAAATGGCCAATAAGTCCTTTCCTGCTTTCCTGGAACTTGTAGTCTAGTTTGGCAGGCAGAAAGTTGGCCAGTGAACACAGAAAACAAATGAACAATTACACACTGTGACCAGCTTACTGACAACTACGACAGTTGCTGTGAGAGAGGAGTCGGAACATGTAACGGTTTAGGAAGTAGTCATGGAAGATCTGGCTGCTTGCTGGTAAAGCCAGGACCTGAAGGATGAGTCAGATTTGTCTGCAGGATGGCGGACAAGCTTTCTAGAATAAGACCCAAAACCTATGTTTTAAAAGCAAAAAAGCCAACCAAACAAACAAACAAAAAATTACAAACCCTAACAGACCGCCCTCTGTGGAAGGTTTCCCTCTTGGCCATTTTCCACTTTCAGATTTCAGTTCATAGTAATAAAAACATGCCTTTTTTTTTTTTCTTTGCCTCTCCCAGACCTTCAAGCCCCTCTTAGTCTTTCTTTCTAGGTGCTGCATCCAAGCATGGGAAACACCAAGGAGACGGAAATGGAGATCACTACGTTCTCTGTCTCCTTCTGTTAAGGTGCGATGAAGACAAATGAACAGTTGTTTACCATGGTGACACTGTCATTAACTTGCAGAGTAGCTTCTTGGGGGGCTACAGTGTCCCCTGACATCTTTTGCTTGCCTGATGTGCCCGGGCAGGGTGACAGCACCACACATTTGGCATCATTCATTCAAGCCTGTAGTTCCAGGCAAGGCAGGGCTCTGCTTCCGTCCTGCGGTTCTCCTGTGACTCACCTCGGGGAGTAAAGCCAGCCAGCCAGCCAGCAGGCCATCTTGCACTGGGTTCTGCTCAGCATTAGGTTGGAACTGGACTGGGCAGCAGCTCCAGACAGCTTCCCTTACAGCCTCACATCCCCACGCCCACGCAATTGTGTGAGTTCTCCCTCAACCCTCTTCATTTCAACTACCTTGATTAATTTCTCACCTGATCCCTGGACAAGCTAGAATGCCTGGGTTCCAGCTCCATACCAATGCTGCGACTTTGTGCAAGTCACATCAACCTGTTACTGTCCTGAAGCTCACTGAACAAAGCATGTGTGAAAGTGGGAATAGCTGAGACCCCAGCTGAGTCAGTGGATAGTTTAGGTGATCAGGCCCTATTGCTTCTGACTCCAGCTTGGTCCTAGAACCAGCTCTCTGCTGAGGGGAAAAAGTATTTGTTTACCTTACTATTTAAAAATATGTGGAGCTGGGAAGGTGGTTTGGCACTGTGGACCAGGAAACTAAGCTTCTGCCTACAGTGTTGGCATCCTATATCAGATTCTTGGCTATTCCACTTCTGGTCCAGCTCCTCACTAGTGTGCTTGGGAATGCAAAAGAGGATGGCCCACATATTTAGGCCTCTGCCACGCATGTGGGAGATCTGGACGGAGCTCTGAGCTCCTGTGCTTGGCTTGGACCAATGCCAGGCTTTGCAGCCATTTGGGCAAGTCAGATAGCAGATGGATGATCTTTGTATCTCTCCCTCTCTACACCACTCTGCCGCTCTGATAAAAATGTAATAAATTATGACATTTGTTGGGCCTGGCCTGCTGGTCTTGTGGCAAGATCATTGCCTTGCATACACCAGGACCCCATGTGGGCACCAGTTTATGTCCCGGCTGTTCCACTTCCCATCCAGCTCCCTCTCTGTAGCCTGGGAAAGCAGTAGAGCAGGGACAGCCCAAGGCCTTGAGACCCTGAACCTGCACGGGAGACCCAGAGGGAGCTCCTGGCTTCTGGCTTCAGATTAGCTTAGGGTTGGCTGATGGCCACTTGGGGAGTAAGCTAGCAGACAAAAGATCTTTCTCTGTCTTTCCTTCTCTCTGTAGATCTGATTTTCAAATGAAAAAAAATCTTAAAAAAAAATTTGTTAACATTTAAGGTTATAGGTCCACATGCAAGATTTTGACATATATATAAATCTGTGCTATTATAGGCTGAGAAAGTGGCCCTTCAGGGAAATGGTGATTGTGAGTGGGCAAAAGGGGATTTTTGGCATGTTGGGGTGTTTTACCTCGTGGCTGGTTTATGAAAATTCATCAAGCTATATACTTACAGAATGCTTTTAAAGATCTGGGAAAATGGAACCAAAAGAGCATCAAGGGCTGCTGTGGTGCAATGGGAGAGTTAAATCACTTCCTTTCATGCCCAAATCCATATTATATCACAGGTTTGAGTCCTGCCTACTCTACTTCCCATCCAACTCCCTGCTAAAGTGCCTGGGCAAGTGGCAGAGTACTTGGGCTCTGCTACCTACATGGGAGACCTGGCTGGTTTGCCATTTTAGCCATTTGAGGAATGAACCACAGGATAAAATCTAAAACAAACAAACAAATAAAAAACCACCCAAAAATGAAACAAAAAAAAAAGTAGGGGCAGGCCTTCGGCCTAATAGCTATTCTGTTTTGGGCTTGGCACGATAGCCCAGTGTTTAAATCCTTGCTTTGGGTTCGCCAGGATTCCGTAGGGGCACCGATTCATGTCCCGGCTGTTCTACTTCCCTTTCAGCTCCCTGCCTGTGGCCTGGGGAAGCAGCAGAGAATGGCCCAAAGCTTTGGGACCCTATACCCACATGGGTGATCCAGAAGAAGCTCCTGGCTTCTGGCTTTGAATTGGCTCGGTTCTAATCATTGTAGCCACTTGGGGAGTGAACCAGAAGACAGAGGATCTTTCTATCTCCTTCTTTCTGTAAATCTGTTTTTTGATAAATAAGTAAATCATTAAAAGACAAGACTGTGTTGCACTTGGGTGGCTGGGTTCAGATCTTGCCTGCAGCTCCTGATCTCTGGTAATGCAGACTGCAGAGGGGCATATGATGGAGCCAATACTTGGATACCCATTTGGGACACCTAGATTGGATTCTCCACTCTTGACTTTGACCAGCCCACCCTTGCCCCAGTCCTGGTTGCTACATGTATTTGTGGAGTGAACCAGCAGATGGGAGCACTCTACTTCAAAAGTTGAATGAATGAGTACATGAGTTAAAAAGAGCAACAGAGTGTGTGTGTGTTTGTGGCAGAGTTAATTGAGCACTTGGGCCCCAATCCCCGACTGTGGTTCTAGTCTGCTATTCAGCTTCTGATCCTGGTCCCTGCCCAGGTGCACCTTGGCAGGTAAGAGATGGCTACTCAAGCACTTGGGTCGCTGCCACCGACATGACAAATCTAGTTCTGCGTTCCTCATTTCAGCCTGGCCCACTCCAGGCTGATACAGGCAGTTGGAGTGTGAACCAGTAGATGGAAAATCTTATATGTGTGTGTGTGTGTGTGTGTGTGTGCATCTTCTCAGCTTTTCAAATAAAACAAAAGCATACAGTTCATCATGAATCCAATTGTAAAAAAAAAAAAAAAAGGAAGCAAAACGGACCAAACAAGTCTGTAAGGGAAGAATAACCCGATCACCCCTCTTACTTCTGTTCCCAGACTCTGAGTTCCTAGTCCTCCCCTTCCCCCGCTGGGAGGCTACCCTGAGTGTGCCTACAAAGCTTTCTGTGCACACAGGGGTTCACAAAGGCATGTGTGTTCATCTGACCACCTCATATCCTTCACTCTGAGACACCTCAGTCCGCATGCTCACATGCCAGACAGCTGCTCTGTCATTCCCATGGCCCAGTGCCTAGCCCTGAGTGTGGCATGTGAATACACAAATAACTAGCCTTCCAGCCAGTGTCTGGGGTGGCTGATGAACTGCACCAGGACATATGGAGAGGCCCGCAGCCCCGCTTCCTGCCTGCTCCCATCCAGCAGGGTGTGTGTGTGTGTGTGCAGGAAGGAGGCAAGGCCAGGGGCTGCTTCCCAAACCCTGGAGGGGCCACGGACCCAGGCACCCTCTCCACCTGTCTGAGGATCCCCCGCCCATGGATGTTTCTGGGTAGACTCCAGAATGTCAAGGGCTTTGCAGCACTCCTGTTGCCTGGGGCATGTTTGGATGACCTGTTTCAGTCTTTGCCCCTCGCCCCTAAACTGAACCTCGTGACCCTCATCTCCCTCACCCCCAAGGCCCTAGCTTATACTTTGTCCAGTGAAATGACAGAGCCAAGAACAGGGAGAGATGTTGAGGAGAAGGGGAGATGGAGAGGGGGAGTGGCGGGGGTGTGGAGAGACAGGGGGAGATGGGGAGGGGGGAGATGGAGGGGAAGCACGGAGGCGGCCAGTTCACCCGGGAGCTCATTTCTGGGTGCGACGCCCTCGGCGCTCGCCGCTGCCCGCGCCTGGAGCCGCCTCCGGCCGGCCGGGCCCCTCCCTCCCTCCCCGGTTGCGCGGCCGCCGGCGCCCGGGCTCGGGGCCTCCGCGCCGCCCGCCCGTCCTGGAGACGCCGAGTTTGTCAATGGAGCCGCGGGGGGCTCGGGCGGACGCGGCGCGGCCGTGAGCGCGGAGCAGGGGCCGCCTCTCCTCGCGCCGTCCTTCCCTCCCTCCCTCTCGCTCGCTGGGCCTGCAGCCCCCCGGGGGCACCCCGGCGCCGCGCGCAGCCAGGCCCCCGCGAGGCCGGGCGGCCTGGGGGGAAATTTCCGTCGCCGACCCCGCTCTGCCAGCCCTTGATTTCCTCTTTTCACTGCCGCGCGTCTGCTAGCCGTTCTCCTGCGTCTGGTCTCCCCACCCCTCCCTCCTCAGGAGAGTGAGGGAAAGCAGCAGCATTTCCTCTCAGAGGCGAGCGAGCTGCCGCTCCCAGAGCTTCTCCTCAGGGCCAGCAGGCGCGCCGAGCGGCGGCCGCCGCCAAGGGCCCCAGCGGCGCGACCATGCGCCAGCCGGCCCCGGGCTGCTGAGGCGCGGGGAAGCGGAAGCGGAGGCCGGGCCGGCGCTGCGGGGCGATTGCAGGCCGCCGGGAGGAGGAGGCGGCGGCGGCGGTGGCGGGATGGAGCCCGTGGCCGCGCCCCGGCCCGACATGGCGCCGGAGCTGACCCCGGAGGAGGAGCAGGTAAGCGGGGGCCGCCGCGGTGGGTGTGTCCGGCCCCCGAGGCCTACGGCGGCTTCGGCCTCCCCGGAGCCGGCCGCGGGGGGCCCTCGGCCAGCTGGGACCGCAGCCCGAGTCCCGGGCCCCGCAGCGGGCCACCAACCCCGCACTCCTGCCCCCGGGACCCCCGCGGACATTCAAGTTCCTCCAGCGGGGTTCAGGGTTTCGGGGGTATCTCCCACTCTTACACTTGCGGGATCCCCTCAACTCACTCTGACCCCTGCCCTTGCCAGAAGATGTGCTATTGGCAGGGTTGGGGGGGTTCGAGTTATTTATTTATTTTTGAAGGACAGGCACAGCCCCCGCCCCCATCCACAGCCCTGGTTGCGGGGGCAGGGTTTCCCGGGAGGGTGGTGGTGGTGGTGGTGGTGGTGGTACTGGTGCTGGCGGATTCTGCAAGATTGAGCCTCTCCTGTGCTCACCCCCACACCCTCTTGCGGCAGACTCGGGCTAGGGGCGCATCCCCTCTCCACACCCCTTCCACTTCCCTGTCCGTCTCCATCTTTCTGAAGCTTGCATTGGGCTCCATTGTCCCTACATGCTTTTGACCTTCAGTTCTCAGGAGGAAGTGGTTTGTGGTGTCCTTGGGGGGCTTGGGTGGATGGAAGGGAAAAGCCAGGGCCCCTGGAGCTTTGCCTGCCCCATGTTGTGGCTGTGTGGGGACGTGGGCCACTCCTTCGTGTGCCACCGAAGCGCCAGGGGCTTACTCTTCCACAGCTTGCCCCCCCCCCCCACCCGCTCAGCTACAGCTACGCCTGAGTCTCTGTTAAAAACAAATAAAATAAAATAGGGAAAAAAGGTGAGGAATGGGAAAGGTGAGCCAACCACGTGGGTGACCCATTTCCAGCTCTGCAGCCTGTACTCCCAATCTCGAACTAGCAGCCCTGTGTTTTTTTTTTTTTTTTTAAACAAACGGATGTTGGTTTAAAACCTGATTTGCAAGGGCTCCTGACTTTTCTCCATATGTATACGCAAATGACGTTTTCCACATTTGATCTTAGAGCAGGGTTTCATCTTTGGATGTCTTGAGATAAAATCAATGTACAGAGGGGGAAAAAAAAAGAATTCTGCTTTGTCCACGTGCAGGGGCCTGGCCACTGCAGTCGGATGCTGTTGGGAGCTTAGTGTGGGCAGGTGGCTGTTAAGGTGTGATGGTGTCATTTGGGGGTTTCAGACACCAAGTTTTTTATCAGTCCCCCACTCTATGATAGGTTTGAAACGTCTCTGCTCATGAAACTTAAAGGCATCAGACTTTGAAGCAAAGGGTGTAGATTACAGATTTTAAAAAAATAACAAAACTGGAGGAAGTAAATATTGGAGGGTTGAAAAAAAAAAGTTTGACTCATACTCTTTTTTTTTTTTTTCCTCTGTGCTTAACAAAATGCCTGATTTTCTGTGGGCCTTTTAGAATGTTGAAAGAAGCAGAAGAGAAACAATGTTCTAATTGCAAGTAGTACCTCCTCAAATGTTAGCTTCATGCCATTTAGGAGTGCTCTTAACTGTTAAACTGATCTTAAAGGTATTGAATGGGCAGCCGGTGTGTGCGGATGGTCATGAGAAGTGGCACAGATGTCGCATGATGCTGCCTCCTCAGACCATTTAAAAGCTTCTTGGGAGCCCGTTTGAAGCTTGGAAACATCTTTAGTGTTGGAAGATGTTGGTCCTTTTAGAGGATTTTTGGAAATAGCAAAAGCATCTTCTGGCACTTCTGTTTTGTAAGTAAGATGGAGATGAAGCTGGGCTGATATGTTTGCAGGCCAGATTAGTGTGTAGGAAGGTCTCTTGGGGTGTGTAGTCTGCCTTCCAGAAGCTTCTGGAGCAGATCTTCCTGACTGATGCTTCCTCCTATACTGTCTGAAAACCCCGGAATCTTGGACGGCGCTTGGCTGTGTTTTGGCCCTTGTCCACAGTACATCCTCCGGTTTTCTTCAGTATCTCTTGAAATCATCGGCTTCTTTTCACCACCACCACTCTCCCCCTAGTAAGTTGCTGACTTGTCCAGAAGGCACTTGTGTAAGTCACATTGCAAACCTGCCCTGTCCCCATCCCAAGCAATCACTACCCCACTGCAGTAGCTTTGCCTTGCTCTGGTGCTCCTGTGTGGGCTGAAGGTCCTCACTGATGCTCTCATGTCATCCCTGCTGCAGGCAGCTCTGCCTTGTGGCAGGGTTGTAGCAGGAGCTGCCTGGCTTGATTGGAGCCTTTGTTAAGTCCCCTTTCATCTTTCAGTGGTCATTCTGGCTTCCTTGGGCAGATCTGGCCCTGTCACTGGCCATCGTGTCTGTCCTAAACATGGCATTTTTGTGCAACTGTGAAGGAGAAAGCTCCGTGTTGTAGGTTGGGTGTCCATGACTTAATGCACCTTGAGGAGCTATCTGGAATGAGCTGAGAGTGCCTCCCCTTAGCTGGTATGCAAACGCAGCATCACCTGCTTTCAGAGTGGCTTACACAAAGGAGGGCATTGCTCCTTTTGATCTCTGTTTCCAAGTCTATTTTTCCAGCTAGGCCTCTGTTGAGCTAATACAAATCCTCGGTGGTAACTTTGTTACCTTTTTTTTTTTTTTCTCAGCTCCTCATTCATGACAATGTTTACCATTGATTAGGTTACCAGGACAAATGTGATTTGCCTTTCAAGAGTTCACATGAATAATAACAAAGTAATATTGGTAACTGTTGCTGAGTCAGGATCTGGGTTGAACTTTTCACAGTTTCTCCTCCCAGGGCTGTTTAATCCTCTTGGTTTTTTTTTTTTTTTTTTTTGTAAAGTAGAAAACAGAGAGAGAGAGAGAGAGAGAAAGCGAGAGAAGGTCATGTTAGAAGGCCAGTGATGGGGCTGTGATCTCCCCTCATTCTCTGCCTCCACAACCCGCATTTCCTCTAATAGACTGCATTTCTTCCCATGCAGCAATTAGCCAATTGTCTCAGATGCCCAAATGGGTATGGAAGGGCTAATTTTGTGGGTTTTGATATTGATATATAGGTTTGGTTTTGGTAATACTTCTTAAAATATGGTTTAAAAAGTAGAGAGGAAAAGACTTTGATGAGTTTTACTCGGAACTATGTATTGCCAGCAGAAGCATATTGTATTCTCTGTTTTATAAGAAATTGTGATGAAATGGCTCTGGGAAAAAAAATGTTTCTTACAGTAGAGTTGGCAGTTCTCCATGAAAGGGGGTGGGGGGAGTGTCACAATCACAGTAAATTTTCTTTTCTTTGTAGCTTCTTTGTATCAAACTCATTCTGGGAGCCAAATTTGAAGGCTCTTCTCTGGTCCTGCTGGAGGAAGCAGGGTGCTGTGTCCCAGATGCCATCCTTGGAGGGTGTTTCTGCCCACGTCCAAGTCTTTTCTAGCAAGCTGCTGCTGGGTGGCAGGGTAGAGGAAGGATTGTGGCTGCTGCTGGCCTGCCTGCCGCCTCATCCTGTGGCTCTTAATTTTTTCACAGCATGTACTCCCTTGGATAGCCTGGCCTGCAATTGGTTGTTTTTGAATTTGCTCAATCAGAATTAGCTTGGCCACAGGAGTTCAGAGTGTTGTACTCCTGTGCTCTGTGTGTGTGTCAGCTACAGAATGTTAAGTAGAAATCCTTGGGTTATACTTTTTTGTCTGTTTGGATAATAATTATGAGAATCTCCTGTTTGGAATAAACTGTAAAGTCTGTTAACTGGAACTCGGGGGATATTGAGTTCTGTGATTGTAGCCTTGGAGGAGCTTTTGGTTTTGCATGGATATCCTTGTAGTGATTGACAGAACAATAATTCTCTCAAGTATTGATGCTTCTATTCCTGTTTTTTATTTGAATAACTTATGAAAGTGCTTGTTTCACATTAAAATCAATCATGACTTAGTTTCTATACTTAAGTTGCTGCAACAAACCATCCACTAATTTCAAGACCTCTAGAGACAATCATTTTTGCATTCATATTCCTAGGAGCTCATAGTGTTATGAGAATTAATAAGGAAGTGTGTGTACAGCACTAAGTCCAGTGCTTACACAAGATGAGCCATTACTGATGCTATTCCTTGTCTTTGAGTAGTGAAGAATATTAGAGCCAAGTTAGTGTAAAAATCAACCCCAAGGAGAAAAATATACGTACTCCCCCAAATGTTACCTGGTGTGGGTTTTTATGAATGCCAAGAATCTCTTATTTTGTATTTTTACAGTATAGTTTCCCAAAATCTATTATGATTTTGTGCTGTGGTTTGTATTTTGTTAATGGAATCTTTTAAAGCTAAGAGTTGAGCTTCTGTCCAGTGGACGTTAAGAGATTTCTGGCACTTTTCCCAAGGGCCAAGAATTTCCCTTTTCCCACAGTCTTCCACGTCCTGTGCTAAATGCCATGTGTCCCCCCGGAAGTAACCACATGTCAAGGGCCAGATGATTCATGGGCCTTGCAGAGAGGAAGGGACAGGAGGGAGAGGGGAGAAGATCTCATTAACTTTGTTATTGAAAGTAATTAATGATACTGCAATTAGCAGTTAGTGTCACACTTGGATGTGAGAATTTCATGTTAACAATTTCTGTTCCTCACACAAAGAAATGTTGTATGTCTGAGGTGATCGTTCTGCCAGGTACCATAATCATGTGTTACTCCGTACCCATGTGTGACTACTGGATGGCAATCGCAAATATTGAAAAGAGTAAAAATTCTTTTGAGTTGATCAAGTGTCTGAGCACACCAAGGGTTTTGTGACTTTTCAAGGACCAGGAGTTTTTCTCACAGGAATCTGACCTTGTAGTAGTTCTTCCTAATGAATGGGAAAGTAAGGCTGTCCTTTGGAAAGCAGCAGACCATTTGTTTATTATCTTTCATCAAGTTCTAAGATTTATTTATATGAAAGGCAGTGAAAGAGGAAGAAAGAGCAAGCAAGCAAGAGAGAGATACTTTCTGTCTCTTGGCATACTTCTCAAATGCCTGCAGCAAGCCAGGGGTGGACCAGACTGGAGTCAGGAGCCAGGAACGCC